ACATTTACCAGAATTACAAACTTTAAATGTTGATGATCAAGTTTTATTAATTAAACAAAATATTCGTCTTTTAATACCATTAAATTATGCTATGCTGAAAACACCTGTAAATTCAAAATTTCGTGGTGCACGTATTCAAACAATTGGTTGTATTAATAATATTAATTTACATGAAATATATTTATCATTATCAAATTCTTTTGTTGAATTTGTTAGATATGATCCAATTATGATTAAATTATTAATTATTATTCTATTTTTTACAACTAATCCTTTAACAACAAGATCTATATATGATCAAGGAGAATATAAACAATTAAATAATATAAAACAGATTCAATCATCATATATTGAATTATTATGGTTATATATGATTGAAAAATATGGTGAACAAAATGCAGTACATTTATTTACAAAAATGATCACGAAATATTTATATCTTCAACTTATGATTGATAGTATGGATTCAATTGTACGAGTAAATAATGATATACATAATATTGATTCATTGATGCAATCATTTTTACAATTAACATGAAAAAAAAAAAACCAAAAGAAAGTGAAAAATAATCTTTTATGAGTTAAACCTCATTTATAATATAGATTTTCTTTTTCTCTTGACTTTTTATTTTATTCGGTTAATAAGAAATTTTGTTCATTAAAACTCGTTTTCTTTCACTTTCTCAAGGAATAGGTTTCTATTATTTTGAGATAATAGAAATAATTATGACAATAATGTCATATTGCTCTTGTTTTGTTTTAAAATACAATTTGTTCTTGTATTATTATTTTTTTTTTTTGCATTTTAAAGCATGAAATGAAGCAAATAAACAGACATTGCACACAATTATTTTGGTTGAATACTATTCATAATATCGATCCATAAATATCTTTTTTTTTCTTTTGTTTCAAAATGTCCGGAATTAGTTATAAACTCGTTCGAACTATTTTGAATTAATATGCAAGTTGAGTCATTTAATAACAATAGCATGACAAAGAAAAAAGTCATTATATAGAAGAATTAAAATGACAGAATCATTAAATATAATATTTTCAAGACAGGTGATATAAGTTTAAAAGAGATAACTCATTGTAGGAAAAAAAAATGAATATTTGTTTGGAATTTTGTCAATGAAGAACTTTATATCTTTATCTAACAATTCGAAAAGATACAGAAATATTTCACAAGTGAACATTTTCAATTAAAGACAATAATCTTTTCTATTTTCCAAAAATGAGTTTTAAATAAAAAAAAATATTATCTTCAAGAGTTTCATATTGAAATGTTGATTTATAGTAGCAGACATAAGTTTAAAACAATTGTATTTTTAAGTTTTCTTCTCTATGATAATAACTAGCAAAAATTTGTGTAACTGAAAGGATTCTCTATTCGTATTGGTAGACCTGAAGACTTTAACAAAACTGCTTTGATAAGGATCTGTGAAAAACCCAAACCAACTTTCTTGCTTGCATTTGAAGTTTTTTGGGAAAATATTTTATCTGATAGAGCAAGAAGAGAAATCTCCATGACTTTTCTTCATTATTAGTGGCATACACAAAGTTGAAAACATGTTTTTCTTTAATAATAAGATATAAAAACGCTGGTCCTTCTATTCAGAAGCTTAAAAAAAAAAAGAAAAAGAATTGTATTTCGGAGTACTAAAATCTCGCTTTAATTGCATTTGCTTCATTGAAACTCGTGTAATTAGTGAAAGTCATGATTGTTTTCTCTTTTCTTCTGCTAATTGAAATGTAGAAAGTAATCGAAGTAATTAAGAGAGCGTCCGTGAGAGCATCGAGTATACGAGGCACTCGACAAAATTTTTTTTTTCGATTTTTTTTGCTCATTCAAAACTTCAATGTCTAGAACTACTAACCCTAAAATTTTAGCTTCTAATACGCTTCCTACGAAAAGTTAGCCAAGACCAACTTTTGACACTATCAGGCCTTTTTGTGGAAAAATAAGAAAAAATACTCTATATAAGATGTGCTAGGTTGCGTTTCAGCAAATCATTGAAATTTTTTGTGGTATACATAGGAAGATAGACAATTGAAAACTGAATAAAATAAGCTAGGTTGATATAATATAATCTCTAACAATTTTAGTTTTATCAAGCTAATATGAGGCAATGGTGGTCATTTTGATCAGTCGATAGAAAACAGTGTAGCTCCTGCTGTGTTGCAGCTTGAAGAGATCCCAGACTGAATTTTATATATGTTGTGCAACTTTTTATTCTCTACAAAATGGTAAAAAAATATTTGAAAAAATAATCTAAAATTGATGCAAAAAAGGGCTTACACCTTCGAATTTTTCATGGTTTTTTTGTGATTTTTGAATAGAATATGAACATTTTTAGAGGTTTGCATTAGTATGATCTAATGATAATTCAAAATAAATACGATATTTGGAATCACCATGAAAAACTGCATCAATCCATATATGTTTTAGCGAAAATTTTTTCCTGGCCAAAATTGACCTGTGGGGGACCAGGGGAAAAAATTCCTGAGAAATAAAGCTGTGGGGGAGTACAGGTCAATTTTGGCTAGCAAAAATTTTTCGCTAAAACATATATGGATAGATGCAGTTTTTCATGCTGATTCCGAATATCGTATTTATTTTGATTTATCATTAGGTCATATCAATGCAAACCGCTAAGAATGTTCATATTCTATTCAAAAATCGCAAAAAACCATGAAAAATTCGAAGGTGTAAGCCCTTTTTTGCATCAAAGTAGAACTTTTTTTCAAATATTTTTTTACCATTTTGTAGAGAATAAAAAGTTGCATAACATATATAAAATTCAGTGTGGGATCTCTTGATTCTGAAACACAGCAGGAGATATACTGTTTTATTTGGACTGATCGAAATGACTACCTTTGACTCATATTAGCTTTATAAAACTAGAATTCTTAGAGATTATATTATATCAAAATAGCTTATTTTCTTCAGCTTTTAATTCTCTATCTTCCTATGTGTATCGTAAAAATTTTCAACAATCTGTTGAAACGTAAGCTGGTACATCTTTTATAAGATATTTTTTCTTTTTTTTTTTCAAAAAAGGTGTAATAGTGCTAAAAGTCGGTATTGACTAACTTTTCATAGGAAGCGTATTAGAAGCTAAAATTTTAGGGTTAGTAGTTTTAGACATTGAAGTTTTGAATGAGCAAAACAAATCGAAAAAAAAAATTTTATCGAGTGCCTCGTATATTCGATGTTCTCATGGACGCTCTCTTAAATAAAAAAATTTTTCACATAAAGATAAATATTAGTCGAAAAATTTCTCCAATCAAATTATTAACGATAATCTACAAAGCGAAAGCAGCTGATTTCAACTGTCTATTTCCATTTTCCAATAATCGTTCAAAATTCAATTGAGTAAACTCATCAAGTCTATAGAAAAGATTATCAAATTAAATTTTAGATGTTTATTAAACTTAATTATAATGGAAAATTTTGAAGAAATTGAAAATCATCTTTCATTTCATTGACCACATATATTTTTATCAATAGATCCATTAACATCAAATCACTCTCACTAAATTATCACGATATAATTGGTTAATTAAATGTTCAGAAAAAATATCATTTGTATTAAAATCATCATAAACAAATAATTGAGATCTTAAATTAAAGTATCTTTTCAATTTAAATCAATATTTTAATAATGAATATCGTGTTCCTCTATCCATGTTAACGATTAAAAATGAAAGATATGTCAATGGAAAATATTGGCTATATGAATATATTCATGGAAAAGTTTATAATGATTGTGATTGTAATTGTGAACATTTATTTGATGAAAAACAACTGATTTTATTAGCTAAACTTATATGAAAATATCATCAATTTCTTATTAGAAATTCTTCTTCTTTATCAACAAATAAAAGAATAACAATACGCGAACATTTACTCAAAGAACTCAAACAATCCATTGTAAGTTAAACATGAAGATGAAATATCTCTATGTATTTAGGATTTAATTAATGAATCTCGAAAAGAAAGTATTAATTTAATTAATGAATATTATCTTGGATGTTATCCATTATTAAAAAGATTATTAGAAGAATCTTTATCAAAATAAGAAAAAAGTCATTCAAATCGAAATTATCTTATTCATCGAAATCTTCGTCCATCAAAAATCATTTGGTCATTAACAAAATCAAATCATTGGAATCATTGATTTTGAAAATCTAAATGTTTATCCATATTTTGTACATCATCATCACCATCCATAATAAATGATGTTGATCAAATGAAAATATTTATTGAAGAATATATGAAACAAATTTCAGGTGATGTTGCAAAAGTTTCATCACAAACAGAACAAGAAGTATTTCATTTAATTGTTGATGAGATTATTTTATGTACTTGTGAAGATTTTACATTTATTTATTAGTAATATCAATATGAAAATGAACAATTTCAAGAAATAAAAGCATTAGCATTTTATTATAAGCGAGCATTGTAACATGTTGAACATGCTTTGAAAAAATGAGACATTATTTATTGTTGTTACAGAGATTATTTTGTTTTTTTTTCCTGTTATTTATTCGAAATTAGGCTATTCTTATGTAAAATGAAGGATGAAAATAAATAACCTTTTTGACACATCTACAATTTTCACATAACAGGAAGATTTTCATGTTTCTCTCTATTGTATTATGCATTCATTTAGCAGATTTTTTATTTGATACATGCAAAAGAGAATATGTATAGTGCTTTGAAATGAAAGAAGTAATTATTCTTCCTTTGAAACAATACTCTGTAGTGATCTTTTATATCATATGCCTTTTAACATTTAAGTATGATTTAGAATGGTGCAATCTATTCAAACAAACAAATTTATATCTCATATTCTCGAGTATGATCAATATCAGCAATATGAGAGAAGTAGGATTTTTTCAAATATCAAATGAGATGTTTTTTTTTTTTAATATATTTTTAAAAATGAAATAATCCTTATATTTTCATGTTAATCTATTTACTTTTTTTTTTGAAATTAGATAAATTGATCTTCATCTTCACTGTCGTGTTCAACATTATTATCACCATAATTCTACAAAACAATATTATAAGACAACTACGTTATGATAAATGGTAATTACATAAGTTTAGCAGAAAATAATTTGTTACAAAATCAAAGTTCTTATTGACTCGATAAGTATCTGGTTAATTTATAGTGACTCATTAACCTAATTAATTTGCAATGATAATCTATTATATTATTAGAACAATAAACTGTGAGTAGAGTGAACGGGATCAATTTCGTTTTTATCTTTTCCTTGGTTAAAAGGACATGTACCAAAAATTCAGTGTAGACAAGAGCTAACAATTTGTTCTTTCAATAGATGAATAATCATCGTTGTGATCGTTGAATAATGTAAAAATAAGACTACGATACTTTTAAAGGCATATTTACATGTATAAGAATACTAATATTCAAAGGCAAGGGTTTTTATCTATCAATAGATGCAATGAATTATATAAACATATGAAATTTTTACCTCAAATATTTCTTTATCAGCAGGTATTAACTCTATTTGACGTTTCTTATCGGCTTTTGTTTTTTTATACAATTGTTTCGCATCGTTCATCAATTGTGCTGCCATATCATTTTTAACTTCTTCTGCACCAACACGTTCAGCACGTAAACGAAAATACTTTATACTTTCAACAAGAAAATTGATTTCCTTCACTGTTTTGTCTAAAAAAAATAAGTTCAAATAATTATTGCTGGATAAAATTCTAATAGACTATTTTCAAGCATAATTTTGAAAAAAGTATCTGATTAGTAGTATGAGTTATTTCAAGATATTGTTTGTAATTTAATTAAAGATTTAAAATATAGATTTTCGACAACAATTCGATAGTACTCTGATTAATATTGCATCTTAACTGTATTTAACTGATATGAAAAATTGATAAACTCAAGTTTACAACTAGAAATTGACTTAAATTCATATCAAAATAGCATTGATTAAACAGTTTATGTACTATTATCCATTTCAAAATAGAATGTGCTCCACTGTTTTTTGAATAACTCGAGAATGGAAGCAGCTAGAAACCTGCGGTTTTCACCAATCGAAAGAGGAGACAGAGGCACATCTTTTTCTTCAATATTGTATAAGACGAAGTCCTTTAAAACTAATTATCTCTGGGAAACATGGAAAAGAATGCATGAAAGTGACCTGCCATCTAGATGAAATTTTGATTTTGATCTTCGATTTAGATAGAGGGACTTGAGATCTATAGTTTAAGATACAATGCACTTTCCTACTTTTCGTTACGTTTTCATCGAAATGTCCAGCTATTATGATAAAAAGTGCAAAAACTTAATAAAAAATCAGTAAAATTCCCTATTATTTGCGCATGTCAATACATGATTCCATTTGCTCAACTTTAGAATGCAATAAGAGAACCGTTTGCATTGTGTCTTGAACTATAGATCTCAAGTCCCTCTATCTAAATCGAAGGTCAAAATCAAAATTTCATCTAGATGGCAGGTCACTTTCATGCATTCTTTTCCATGTTTCCCAGAGATAATTAGTTGTAAAAGGACTTCATCTTATACAATATTGAAGAAAAAGACGTGCCTCTGTCTCCTCTTTCGATTGGTGAAAACCGCAGGTTTCTAGCTGCTTCCATTCTCGAGTTATTCGAAAAACAGTGGAGCACATTCTATTTTGAAATGGATAATAGTTTATTTTAAATTCTTGCAGGTGATTATATGTGAAAGAAAAATTCGTCTAATTTCATCTCAATCACTCGAAATATATCAAAATTATATTCAAAACTTCAACTATACAATATTCCATCCAATATTAGAATAGAAGAAATAAAACTCATGTTTTTTATATGTACTGAAATCAATCGAAATATCTGAATACACTTTCCTCTTTGACAGATAGCATGATACCAATTTTTCAAACATCAACAAATAATCTTACTACTTGCAATAATATGTTGTCCTTTCAATGCTAATATTAAGTCTGATATTACGAATTCTCAATTTTTTCTCAACATTATTCTTATTTTGAAACAATTAAAAGAAATTATTTTGCTTTACTTTGATTATTTTGTGTTTGAAAAACATTAACCATAAACGAACGTTTGTTAGTTTTTATTTCAATGGCTAGAACACCAATTATTTCGTTTCCTGCTGTAAATGTTGTGACATTTTGAATGATATAGATTGTATGATTTTCTTCTTCCAAATTTCGACTAACAAGTAAATCGATATTACATTCACCATTCTCTGGGAAATTAGTACCCAAATTGAAACATACATCACCATATTTGATATTTTTCAATAGCACATTGTCAGAAGATGATTTATTGATATCATCAATGAATGTTTGAAATTTACTATAATTTAAATCGTTACTCAATCCACCAAATATCCAGACACTCCTATAAATATAACAATTTACTTTAGCGAGTTTTTTTTTTTTATAAGAAATTTTCGTTGCACCAACTGATTCGAAATTTTTAATCTCATGTGAGTTGATAAAAATTTTATACTTAGAAAAACAATCAAAGCCGGAGTTTTTATCATGAAATTTCACGAATATGCTTATTCAAATGTTCCACAAACAATTCGAAAAAAAAATTCTCTAGCAAGAACCACAGTAACATTTTCTCTCTTTCTTTCTTTCTGTCTTTTCAATGCACATACATGCGTACATATATATATGTACACATGTATGTGCATTGAAAGGACAGAAAGAGAGAGAGAGAAAAAAAAAGATGGTGCTGTGGTTCTTGTTAGAGAATCTTTTCTTCTGAATTGTTTGTGGAGCATTTGAATAAGCATATTCGTGAAATTTCATGATAAAAACTCCGATTTTGATTATCTTTCTAAAGATAAAATTTTTATCAACTCACATGAGATTAAAAATTTCGAATCAGTTGATATAACTTATTTTGTATTCTGTACAATTTGCAAGAAAAAGAAAATTTGTGTTTGAAATAAAGTTAAAAGTACTTGAAGGATATAATTTAAATAAATAGATTAAATTTTTGTTTTTTAAATAAAGAGAAAGATGAATATAAATAAAAATAAAATGCTTTTTTAAATAGAAATATTCAATTAATGAAGAAAATATGAGATAAAATAATCCTCAATTCTATCAATACGTTTAGTATATTCACATTATCGTATCAATTCGTATCCACTGTATTTTGACTGACAAAAAGCTACTTTTAATTGTCTAAAAACTGCCTATGTTTGTCTCTTCGCACTTCTGTTAGTAAAGTCTTTTCACGTTTATTTTTGAAAGAAATATTTCATGCTTTATTTGCATGAACATCCGAAAATCAATTAAAAACTCTACTATTTACATATGTGTCGTAAGGCATCATTTTATATCATTCTAATATTGATTATTTTCTTCAGATAGATCAGAGAAAAGAAAATAAACATCTTTTTTTCTAATCAATAAATTATTTATTTCATTTATTTTTGTAAATATTATATTTAATAAGCTTACGTTATGCTTGATATTGGTAATAAGTCAGAGACATGTTTAGCAACATTTTGAAAACATAAACGAACAGTTGCCAAATTGATTAAGGGTGGAATGTATACAGAACTTCGATGTTCAATAAATATATGTTGATTATTATCTAATAGAACAACGAAGCCAATGCATGGACCAAGACTTGTTGTTGCTAAATAATCAATTCCTGAACCAAAATGATCTACTTTAATATCATTTATTGAATTAGCTGACATATTTCCTTTTTTGTTTATATACTTTGATAAAAGCTCTATATTTGTGGCGATAGAAAAGAGAAGAAGAATGATAAGTGTACACACATGTACATATATACACAAATGTAATCACTGGTGTGACAACAATCTTTTCTCCACAAATAAAACGATTTGACTTTGACAAAGAACGTGTAGAGAAATATTCTAAGATGAATACGGTCGATATTATCTGACAATTAAATATATGAGATCGAAGGATGAAAATAATACTTTCAACAAATTTTTTTATCAAAATTAAAATAACAAAAGATTTTATATAGAATTTTATTCGTTGAAATGACGTTTATGCTTAAGAAAAACTAATATTTATTGTCAGAAAATGTATATTTTACGAATATCTAATTAATTATTTACAGAATCTTAACACTCATAGATTTTACATGTTGAAATAAGGCTCATTTTCTAAACATACGCGTAAATTAGATAACTTTTTAATTTAAAAATAATCTTTGTACAAATAATTTATTTACATTGCAAATCGCATGAAACATATCGAAGAAAGATACGTTGTGTATGTTATAATACTATGTTGATAAGATAGTTTATTTTAAATTTCGTCAGTTTTGTGTTTTTATTATTTAGTATAACATATCTTTGTAGAAAAAATGAGATATAATGGAAATTGATGGTTTGGATTGATCTAAAGTTCTTCATGATAATCATCTGATATTCGAACAAAAGATGCTGATTAGTCTATTCATTGAATTTCTCGTCGATGTACTTGAAATCAATTCAATATCAATTGATCGTCTGTTTGTCAATGAATATTTAAAAACGACTTCTGGAGAATTTGAACAAAGATGATCAGGTTTACATTTATTTAAATAACTGATGAGTTAAATATTTCAAATTTAACTAATAAAAAACGAAAAACTATTCAAATTTATTTGTTCAATCTCTTTATAAATAAAAAAGATTTAATATTTAATAATTGAATCTGAATTATTTACATTTTTGAATAAGAACATAATAATTTTAAACATATCGGAAGAAGAAAATATTTCAATAGAATATAATCAATTGAAAAGATTCTTTTTTTTTTTATCTCTTTTGATACTTTTATTAAATAAACATGAAGGTTTACATATTCATCAACGTTTCAAATGAAATTTTTAACTTATTTTCTGTTTCAAATAAACATTTCTTCCGTGAACTTTATTATCAATACTTTCCCTTAATATTTAATTACAATTCGAAAGAGAAAACTAAGATTTTACTATGCAAAATTAATTCGTTATGAATAAGGACGATTGAAGGTGTGATAGTAAAAGAAGTATTTTCACTGATATCCTACTAAACAATAAAGCAAATGAATGGATTAGTACTTTGCAATCGAATTATATAGGAAGATAAAATATATCATGAAACAATTCATAGATCTGTTCAAGTTGTCAAAGTACTTTCATTTTTATGATTTTTCTCTCTATTGCTCGCAATGATTCAATCAACTGGCATTAATCAAATACTTTGATTTGCAAAAAATGACGAAATTTAGTTAACTAATGATACAATAATAATAGATTCAATGTACTTTAGAAATAGAAAAGAAAGTTGGACAAATATTGTTTCTTTTTAAATATTTTATTTGAATTCTAGTTAGAAAAAAAAAACAAACCAAATCATCTATATGCAAATTTTCTCAACGAATATACATATTTTGGATTAGAAAATCACAACTTTTTAATAATATTAGAACCAAATACGTAGTTCATCATTTATATGAAATTGAAAATGAATATTATTACCATGAAATATTTGATCATGAGTAGCTGCAATTAATTTATCTCTGAACATGATCTTCTTTTCGTTTTTAGATCGATAACGACAATTTTTGTTTAATACTAAGTATATCAATTGATCAAATTGATGACTAATGTTCAAAATAAATTCAACAAGATATTCATTTTGCTTCATAACTGCATCACTTGTTTCAAGTAAATATAGATGAGGTACTATTTCATTTAATCGATGAATATCAAAATAATGTTTAGAATTCTCATGGAATCCATTTAATAAGAGATGCACATGTTTTAGATTTAAGTATTTTCGTGAACAGTGACGAAAATCTCTCCATGATACTACAAGAGACGAGAGATTTGGTGATGCATCAAGGATCCGCTTGACCATGGCGATGCGTTCGCATTTCTCAATTGAATTTGATTGGATGTTGAATGTAATAGATCGTATATGATTAAGCGATAAGTTCCAATGTGAATCACACTTTGATATCATTGATGTATTTGTCTAAAAGGTACAAATTTGTAATAATAATGTTTACAGCATTTAATAGCTGTTATTCGTATCATAAGAATACTGATCTTTTGAAAAACTTAAATTTGATACAATCGAATCGTTACAGAAACGATGACAAAAAGTGTAGAGTGATGCACAGAATAAATTAAATTTACATTTAATATTATAAATGTTTTAAATTAGAAATTTTGTTTTTTATATTTGAGATAATAAACTGATTCATCTTCGATATTCGAACAATGGTTTACTCTCTTGGCGACGGGAAACGTATATATCAGTCGAAATCGATCATATATAGATATCGATGTCTCCTGTCGCCAAAGTGTTACAATAGACTCTAATCGTAAAAGAAAATCAAAGTAAGATTTATGTCATGAACTTTCTTGTATGACACCTAGACACCTATAAAGTATAATTGAAAAATTTCCAAATGAATTAATTTACATACTAGATTCTAAAAAGAACAAAATCTTCACTAACTCCAAACATTAAATTCAATCGGTGCAGAACTTATCAAAAATAAAGTGAACTAAATACCATTGTCAGTCAGTTAGATTTTACATTAAAATCTCTAACATATTTATAAATTCGAATTAATTCACCATTTTTGCTTAAGATTGAATTTGACAATAGTTATTAAGAAAAGAAAACAAAATCGAAAAAAGAAAAGGTTCATAGTTTTTATATTATTGTGATGTTCTTTATGCTAACAATTTGTTTATTCTATCACATAAAATAAACATCTAATTTATGAATTAACAACATTTCAATACGAGATTTATTTTTTTTTATAATAATCTATTCTGATTTGTCTCGAACTTTGTATATATGTATTTCTATACTAAATCAATAAGTAAATATTTGATATCGACACAAAATTTGTCTCATTATTTCCTTAAGTTTCGAGAAAAAAAACTTATTCGTAAATATTCTATAAAATACTACACTTCAAACTCAAGACTAAGTAGTTTCATTCAATTTATCCTTTTTTTGACTTACTCGTTCATTTAAATATGTTAAATGAAGTTCATTAACATGACCACTTGCAACTATTTGTAGAGTTTTGTTAAATTGCTCAGTCTCATATTTTTGATCGCAGACCCATTGAATCAATCGTCGTCGAATTGTACAAATGGGAACAGATATATGTGTTGCGAAACCATAATTGTGAAAAGTTCGTTTGTGGCGATAGAGTAGATTAATTGGACAATTGTAGATAACAAATAGGATCTTTAGAATCAAATCTATTGCATCTGGAGTACACATATAACACTCATCCATGTAACAATTAATATTATCAAAAGGCCATTGTTGATTATTGCAATTGAATGAACTCATTCTCCATTCATGTTCAATTTCTTGAGGGAAACATAATGAGAAATGAAGAGTTTTCAAAGCAGGTAAATATGTAGAACTACAAAGTTCTTGAAATTGATCAAGATGATCTAAAGCTACAAGAAAAAGAAATGAAATGAATCTTTTCGTCTAAATATCTATTCAAAAGCATAGACATTCGACTTCACTTGATCACATCAACAATGAAAATAAAGACAATATATTGAATTATTTCACGACAAAAGAATATCTTTCTCTAGAGTGTTGGACGCCAAATAATTAAAGTTAAAAAAACAAAGAATATTTAATGCAACGTTTTTAAGCAAAATACTTTCAAACTATCACTTCATATTCCCCTTGTCGAAAAGGAGATTTTTCACAGAAAAAGAACACTTTTTTATATAAGATTGCAAAATCAGTTTCAACTTGGAAAGATTCTCAGAATGAAACGCTTATATTTTCAAGTGAATTTAACTAAACATCTATCAATTATTTCATTCATTATCATATAGTTAGATTCTTCAACGTTTTCTTTTATCCATTTTAACTAAATCTACTAGTTATTATATCATATGGTCATATATTTTATCCTCGTTTTTCAAAATACACGATAAAATCCAGAGAAACATATTTTGAAGTTTTCTTTTAGACCTATTCTTGATTTGGTCATTGGGCGTAGGATAGTGTTTCTCCAAAATGTATTTCATCCCAGACAACTGAAAAACTTTTCTTCATTACAAGTATATCGATAATGCTTGATATATGGAAAACAATGTTTTAATTACTCGTGAATGATAAATAAACTTTTAGATTTGCAAAAAAGATCATACTTCTGATTTACAAAGTTTGAAGATCCTGATTATTTGAACAATGTAGTTGATCAAATGAAGCAAAACTTTCTCTCTCATAGCAAACGATAAGAAATTGTCTTTTATCTAAAAGAAGACAATTCAATCCCTGCAGTATTAGAGCTCTATCTCAAATAGTATCACTAAAATATTTGTGCTGATAATTTCTTATAAAAATCTTGCTTGTCTTAAGTTCATTCAATGATTTACAAGCGACGACTTTTAGACGCCAAGACATCTTGTAATTCTTGATGAATTTTGATGATAACACAAAAGAAAATTTAGATGTCTGATATATCGATCAATAGTTAGAAGTCCATTGAGATATATTTGACTCAACTGTGACTGGGCACCAACAAGATGAAAGTTGACATTTGAAATCCGTAAAATTATGTGCGGGTGAGATCTATTAGTTCATAGAATATACTACGAAAGTTTGAAAGAAAAATGAAGTTTTCTATTCTTAAAATATTAATTGTTCGCATATACTCGATTTTTGAAGGCAAATATTTCCGCAATTCATCTTTAAATTAACATCTACCATCCAGTCAAAAATTCACTAATACGAATATATATTCTCATCAATACCAGAAATTCCAGCCTTTTCATCATTATAAATACAAATCACTACAGACTACAATATGTACGATTATTTTAGAATGAAAAAGCGTTACGGTATGTAAATGTCGTTCCTAAGTTACACCCTTTGCTGAAGTTGTAACTTCGACGGGCAGAGTAACTTCAGCACGACATATATATTATGAATGAAACTGATTCATTACAATTGATCATGTTAAAATAATAGATGAAGAAATAACTTACTATCATCATACATATCAATAAGTATCAATTCTTCAAGTAAAGGCATGGTTATCGAACCAATCAATATCATAACATCATTGAGAGTTATATAACGTAAGAGTAAGTGTTTCAGATGAGTACCACCAGTAGCCGTTTCTCGTAGAGAATATTTCGAAAGTTGAACATTTGATGCTGATATATTTACATTGAAAGGTAAATTAGTATCCAGATTCTCAATAGTAATATTCAAATATTCAATTGCAGGTAGAGCATTGTGTTCAAATAAAAGCCTTAATTCGCTGAAATGTTGAATACTTAATGTTAATTGAACTGTATTTGACCAAGATAGTGGTTGCATGTTGTGTAAATCTTCTAGCTCATTCAGCCGACAACTGTGACCTATGGATAAAATCAGTAAAAATAATAGCCAAGTAGAAAAAAAGATTCTTTCACTTCCATTACTTTCTGTTTTAGAAAAGTTTAAACGAAATTTTTTTAAATCTAAGAAAAACAAAATTGATTCTCATAAATATGAAAACAATCGATTATAGGTCTTTTTTTATAACAATTTTTATAACTGACCATTGAAGGAATGTTATATTTCTCCACTGAAGAAAAATTGATCGAGAAAGTAAATACTTTTATATATCCGATATATTTCTATTTGTATTTTCATTTTCTTTTTGTCTATTGACTGTCATCAGTACTCTTATTCCAAAAGTTTTCCAACTTGAGATAGAATAAGAAAAATCTCTGCAATGAAATAGATGAAGGATACAACTTATATGAAATTGTATTTCTCAGATCTACATTTTATCTTAGCAAATTAGAACTATTCAATTGTTTTCTATTCTGATAATTTTTTATTCTCGTATATTCAATTTTCCAGTTTCTATATGATTCTTTCTTTTCTTTACAATAGTATCGAAATAATACAAATCCATTAGGGGTTTGATATTTTTTCTTATGCTAAGTTGAACTTGTTATTTTGTTTGTTAACTGGTTCCTCTAAAATTAATGATACAATTACTATCATGAATATTGAATGAGAATCATAACGACATATGATATCATATTAAAAGTATCGTTCAATAGAAGTATTTTATACAAGCGCAGCCAACAGAAAGTGTTCACCATTCGAAAATTCACTTCCACTAACATTCCTCCAACAGACTGTGAAATTTTACTGAATAACAGAATTTCGCACTCACATTACTAAACTTTAAACAAGATTCTTTTTTAAAGATAAGACACTTGTATATAATACATAATAATTAATATGTTAGGACCAGAGATGAGCACAGGACAAACTTTTTCATTCTGTCTTGCCTGCCGCTTCGACTTACCCGTCCTGCAGAGCGGACGGGACAGCAGGACGAGCCACACGTCCTACCCTGTGCTCAGCTCTGATTACAACAAGATAAACATTAAATTAGTCAATTAGATATTCCATAAAATAATCGAATTGCGGAATATTCGTATTAAAAGTGCTGTTTCAATCTCAAGCGTTTTTTGCACATCGGTACAACTCAAATCCAAAGATTATTTGAAATCTCTCAATGCGACAATTTTATCCTACACGATAACTCTATCTATAATAATACTCTTGATCATTCAAGCTGTTTACTTCGATAATATTTTTAATAACATACCTTGTTCAACTTCTAATATCATAGTATGAACTGAAATACGATGAAGAATAAGTTTTGAAAGTATCCTTGGATAATTGGATGCAGGTTCTTTGAAGATGAGATGTAAATATTGTAATGTATTATTAGCAAAAACCAAAGGTATTAATATTGCTTGAATAAGAGTATATGAATAACATTCTGCTTGTAACATAACAAGGCGTTTTATCGATGGGAAGAGCACATTGAATTGATCAGTTCCATTAAAAGTCTTTTCCCAGTATTCAAGTAACGTTCGGGAAGCATATGAATCATTAAACACAACAGTATTTATTAAATTAGTAAAATGATTTCTATGATTCTGATTACTATTGAGCCATAGATGTAGTTGATCATAATGCATTAAATTAACATTAAATGAATGACGAATCGAAGTAAGAAGATGTTGAATACGAGCATTGTTTAAGTAAAGAAATGCTTGACAAAGATCAAATGAAGATAAATAAGAAAATATAATAAGCAAAAGTTCATTTGGTAATGATTCCAATGTACTTTTACTCATCGTTATTTTATTGAATCTATTCTATTTACATACATGTTTATTACGATAGATATACGAATGACCTTGAATAAGCTGAAAAAATTAGACGAATTCAAATTGAACTAACAAAAAAGTCAGAATTGACCAATGACATTGCTTATTTTCGTTGTCATTCTTTTTTTTGTCAGTTTGTTTGACATCTATGACAACAGCATATATGTTCATGTTCAAAAAATCATTCATAATCATTCGACGAACAATATAAAGGGAAATTCTCTGTTTAAGCATGATTTTTTTATAAGATATCAATGACTTTGTTTTTTGCATCGAATAGAAGATGATCAGATGAAAGTCTATTGTAATCATTTCTTATTGTTTGAAGAAAATAACTGAGTATTTTTTGTAGAATAATACTCTTTTTACTTTTATATTATATTGAAAATCAAAATATAAGTTTAGCAATTCTTGAATAAAAAAATATGAAAACAATCTTTTTATACACGATATTTCTTAATATTCAATCAGCCAAAAAGTATATTGATAATGATTATTATTATCATATTTAAAAAGTGAAGAATATGAATGTATTATTTATATTTTGAATAATATTTCACTCTATAAAGAAATTATTTTTAATAATAAATATAAATGTCAAGAAGTTTTAGAAAGATTTGTGTTATTTTGAATGATAAAATATTAAAAAAATTGTTTTATTAATTTAATGACATTTTTTGACTTTAAATTTTAAGGATATTAAAACATATAACGACTAAAAAATGAGACGTATTTATTAATGCATTCGAATAAATTAAATATTTCTCTTTTTGATTTAGTTTCAATTATTGAAAAAAATAAATATCAACAAATGATCGATATTCTTTATTTTCAATGTCTTCATCATAATGATGTACTTCATTGATTTTATCTTCTTTCTTATTATTGTAATATCATATATATATAATTCTATATAAATAAATGTTATATAGTCAACTAGAATAATTAGATTTGTTTTATAATAGATAAATCGTTATCATTATATATAATTGAAGAGAATAAACAATAAATCAATTTCTAAACATGTCAAATAATAATTTTTAGTCAACGAGATTTATTTAACATAAAATGTTTTGTTTTTTTTTTATTTATTCAGTAATAATTCTATTCTATAATTGAATAGAAATTAAATAAATTTCTCTTAGAAAAATAACTATAGATATTTACTTTTTTAATAGAAACATTTTATTATAATGTAGTCAAGTCCTTTTTTGTGTACTCAAAAAGTGAGTACACTCTAGAATCGGTCAGTATGTCCGTCTGTCCGGCCGTTTACACGATAACTTTCGAAAAGAGAGTCAGATCATGATGAAAATCTTTACACAGTTTAGTCTTAATAATATCTCGGTCGAGTTCGACGATGAGCAGGATCGGCCGAGCCATTCCTGAGTTATAGCAAAAATATTCATTTTTCCCTATGGCTTCTTATGGGAAAATCGACCTATCTCCACTTTCGTAAAAGAATTTCCCTATCATACTCAAATAAAAGCCCAACTATTATATACCATTCGATAGAGAATTTCAAGAGCTAAAAAATGGTATATAAAACATTAAGAAACAAAAAGACTAGCTCACCTATTGCAAAGATAAATGAGCGGAAATCGATTCTGTTCTTGTGCACGCTCTAATTGATCCACAACTAGAGCTCTATCTTCTGATCATAGAGGTGATACTTCGAGGTTTTCTGGGACTGGGAACTAGAATCTGTACTTCACTGGTCTCGAAGCTCCATTGGTTGAGCACTGACCAATAGAAATCAAGTTATACGAAAAACAACTTTCTTAGGGTAAATCAAGGTGCAGAGTTCAAATCTAAGCTTTATTCGTCTCCAAATCCTATTAGTTTAGCAGTAGCCTATACAAATCAAGTATTTCTAGAAAAGGTTTGTTAGAATAATTTTTACGTTTACACATTCTAGAGTAACTCATCTGTATCATTCACTTTTTGAAGTACACATAAATCTCGGATTTCAATCCGAGTTTTCCACATTTATTTTTTTCTAAAATGATTAACTATAAAAAAAAAAAGTAAATTATCATTCGTTTGAATATTTCTAGAAGATGTTGTGTAAACATATCTAACAGTCGATAAATCAATAAATCTAATAATTTCTTAAGAATAAATCGAGTTGAATTATATTAGAAAAGGAGATTTTTAAAAATTTATTTTTTTTTCTAATCATATTCGAGTATGAGGAGATTTTTCATTAGAAATGTTGATTATTGAATATAAATAAAAGATTTATTTCTCTTTGAATAAATAATATAATAAGAATTATTTTGAGATATTTTACGAGAAAATATTATTTTATCGAGTTTAACTTTCATAGATAAATATCTATAATATATTCGATTTATTGTTTAAATACTCTTATTAGTTGATATGATCATATCATATTAACTAAATATTATCTATTTTTTATTTACTTATTAGAAAAAATATTTAAAAAAAAACCGATTTTCCGACGTTAACTATCATAGAATATAATAAATATTTCGATTTCTATAAGGAGATAAGATATAAAAACGCTTGTCCTTCTATTCAGAAGCTTAAAAAAAAATAAAAAGAATTGTATTTCGGAGTACTAAAGTCTCGCTTTAATTGCATTTGCTTCATCGAAAATCGTGTAATTAGTTAAAGTCATGATTGTTTTTTCTTTTCTTCTGTTAATTGAAATGTAGAAAGTAATCGAGATAATTAAAATATACGGTACAATTCCAACAAAGAAATTAATTCATATAGTCCAAGCGTAGAAACAATACTCAATTTTTCTATCTGTTAAAATGTATCATCAAACTATTTACAAAAGCAAATGTTAAACAGACACATCAAACTTTTTCCAAATACTTTAACAATCGGATTCCAAGAGCATACCGCGAGATCTTGACATGTCGATGTTCATACATTCTCTCTTTAGATGAAAGTGTCACACAATCTAGTACTTCCCATACCTCATACATCTCCATTACCTCTCATATCTCCTATACCCTCGATAGCTCATGTACTTTTATTGCATCTATTACCTTTTCTACTTCCTATATCTCTCTTACCTTGTATACCGTCATTACCTTAATTACTTATACTTCTCTTACCTTGTATATCTCCATTACCTCATATACCTCCATTAATTTTTGTACTTCGTATACATCGTATAGCTCCTATATCTTCATTACCTTTTATATTTCCTATACTTCTCTGACCTTGTACACCTTCATTAATTTTATTACCTCCTATACTTCCCATACTTCCTATACTTCTCATACTTCCTATACTTCTCTTACTTCGTATACCTCTATTACCTACTATACTTCTTATACCTCTCTTACCTTGCATATCTCCTATACTTCTCTTACTTTGTATACGTCGTATACCTACATTACCTCTATTACCTCATATACGTCCATTATCTTATATATCTCTCATATACCTTCATTACCTTCTACATCTTCGCTTGTGACAATTCTAGCAATGTAATAGAAATCCAAAAAAAAAAGTTATCTAATTTTCTGTATGCTTTCGTTCTATACATTTAATTCTTTTTTTTTGTTTGAAAGAGTATGACAAAGTCCCTTTTTTCTTGAGTCAAGCATTATTACTATTACATAAAAGAATATACTTTTATAATTTAAGCGTCATTTTTTGGGGGGAATTTTTCGAGACATTGAACTTGTCATCCCTTTTTTTTTCACTAAAAAGGTCAAATGAGCTACTCTATAACTCTAACATAACTTCACAGTTTCATGCGATTTGAGCATACCTGGCCCAAGATTGATTTTTGAGGGAGAGATGGTCTCAACAACAAAATAGGATAATTACTTGTTATAGATTTTATTTCAGATGTTTAAGTAGATCATTAAGATCCAAAAATATTTATGAATATGCTCTGTATCTAATTTTATAGAAACTACTCAAGAAAAAAAAAAACATTTACTTTATCATAAAAGTATAATTGATTGAAACAGTCATCATTCAATTATAACTTTCATATTAAGTCAAGTTAAAAATGTAGATTTTGTTTCTTTTTTTTTTTATAAAACTTGAATGATATAAAAATAATGAAGTGTTAAAATAATCATTTATTCATCTTTCGTTCATTGCGGATCACTAATCTTTTCTACTGAAAAATCAATTACAAGTATATAATAGGACGAAGATAGAACAAAAGACATATATATTACATATAAATTATTTTTAGTTAATTTACATAAGAAATTTCTTCTGTCATATTTTTGTGATTTGTGTATTCAATTAACACCATCTGTTTTTTTTTTCTCTAACAAGAAGATAAACATATTCCAATTATGATGATATATATTCATTTTAAGAATTAAATTTCATATAAGTCAAGGCACTTGCTGTGATGCGAAAGACATAGTGAGAAGGTGGACTAGACAGTAAAAGCTAAGATGACAATCAATCATCATGAGAGAATATATATATATATATATGTGTTAAGTGAAACCATTCAAGATACAAATCACATCAAACATAATATTTGCTAAATAGGTGTCAACGACAAGGTCTCATACGTTTGTGAATAATATCTAATCATAGATATCTTGTGATAATGTCCAATCGATAAAGTTCAGATAAATACGAAAAAAATATTTGTCATTTCAATTATATTCGGCATAGATTTTTTTGTTTTTTTATCAAACATATAGCGAACGGAGCCATCATATTGACCAGAGAAGAGAAAGAGAAAGAACAGAAACGAGAGAGCGAGAGAGAGAGAGAGAACAGCGAGAGCAAAGAAAACGGACAAAAGTATTGTCTCTAATAAAAAAAAAAAAGAAAAAAAAGAAGAAAGAAGCGAAATAACTAAGAGAGAATGTACAAGACATAACATATACACACGTCTTGGTATGCACCACTTGACTCATTTATTTTCTGCTATTGTATACTCTTGAATTATTACAATTAATTTGATCATGCACGTCTAATTTTTATTAACTTTGAACAATAAAAATCAAACATTAATACATAAAGTGAACATGTAAGTTTTCTTTTGTCTTTAATAAAAATTCATTTACACTAGTCGGTATATTCAATAATTTTACTAAGATATTAAGATCAAAGATTAATCTATATCTAGTAAGTGTATTACCCTGTAGACATATATATTTATATTCATAAGTCAATATCATCCATATGTGTTAGTCTCTTGATCGACAGATTCCTACTGTGTTCCTATGTGCCGCCCAATGTAAACTTTATGCAATATTTTCATTAATACAAATTAATTATAATTTTTTTTTTTGTTATCATCACGGTTACACATATGTTATGTATATATATCTATAATCATCTTGATTCTAGTATAGACACATGTTATCACGAAGAAGCACGGGGATGTAGCTCACTCGGTAGAGCGCTCGCTTTGCATGCGAGAGGCACCGGGATCGATGCCCGGCATCTCCATTCAATATATCTTTTTTTTTTTTTCTTTATTTACATGTTGTATGTTCTGCTTATATAGGCAAGCGTATGAAACATAGATTTTTTTTTGTTGATTTATTTTAAAATATAAAAATCATTTGATCTTTTCGTGAACATTGACGAGGACGCAAGAAGTGTCAAATTGAACAAAAGAAAAAAAAATATATCAATTGAGTTACCTTGGCTGACAACTCTCCTGATCATATAAAGATCAATTTTCATATATGCACGTTTCGCTTTTGTTCTATTTTACACAAGAAAGTAGGATCATTTTCATATTTTTATAAAATTTTTTTTTTCTTTTTGTGTATATGACTTTTTATACCCTTCGGCATTCCTCAAGCCAATTAACACTATTGTCATTTATCTGATTTATTTTTGTTGAACATTACTTGTCATCGAAACAGGTTATTATAGGGTTGAACTGTCGTCTGTCTCTAGTTAATAATTAAGTATGAGACAGAAAGAGTTTTTCACCCTTCCTAAGTTAATTGACTTGAACAATCAGATGATAGATGAGTCGTATAGAGTAAATTAGTCGACGTGTGTTGAATGTCGTCGTTTAATGATCACCTTCGTTTCAATATAAATTTATTGCATCTCAAGAGAAAGACAATAGGATAGAGAGAAAGAGAGAGAAAAAAGATATATACACTATTTAAATACACTTGAGTATCATTTTGTATGTTTTTATATGGAGATGAAGAATAGTTACGTTATTTTTCTTTTTAACCAACATCAACAACAACACTTCTATTGGATTAGGTTTGTATCATGATGATGATGATTAGCATTTTACCACCTTGACCATAGATATTCTTATGTAAATATAGACTCAGTATGTGTTTGTTTGATTATGATAAACATATTGGGAAGTAAGTAAATTGAATAAATTGATTGAAAATATCGGTTTTTTTTTCTGACAATTTTATCTTTTATGTTTTTTTCATTATTCATCAGTTAATTCTATGATATATATATATAGAATTCAATTCTGTCAAATAATATAAACAATCGATACATCATTAGAATTGATTATCTTTTTTTTATTTCGAAAGAAAAATAGTTTAGTCAATTGATTATTTATTTTTATTGATTATGAATTTTATTCTTTTAGGTTAGCTATGTTAACAAGTATTTTCCTCGTTCTTTGTTTATTACACTGTCATTTGAATCATTATCATCATGTTGAAGCATCACGTATGTCTAATATTGAACAAGACAAACGAGAATTGGGCATACGTATGTCTTTGTTGTATAGGTATATATATCATTGAAATTTTTTTATATCTAGGATTTAAACAAGCTATTACTGATGTTATGAAAAAATTTGATGATCTTAGTATTAGTAAATATTTTTTTTAATTTATGATTTAAATTGTTTATTAATTTATTTATATTTAGCTTGTCCATTGGGTAGTTTTTTTTATAATGGTTCTTGTTATTTTTATTTACCACCGAAACAAATTGATAATTTAAAAGGAATTGGATTTATTGATGTATC